CAAGGCCTCACGCCGTCCAATTCTTTGCGTGTTCCCGGGCTTTGCACTTTGCGTTTCTTCGCACGTTGCAAGGATTTCCCTGTGTTTCGGTGCACCCCGTGCCCAGCCCTGCGCTCGCATTGCCCCTGCACGCACAAGCATCCAAAACCTTGCCAAACCCTGACGCGGTGCAATCCCCCCTCCGCTCTCTCCCTGTTCCCCATCCTTGCGTCCCCCCCGACACCCCTCACACCCGGTCCCCCCTTGCCTCGCAGCGAGGAGCAGCTGAGCCACTCGACGTCGCAGCCGGAGCCGGGCACTGGTGGGCCGCTGTGGGAGAGCGGAGCGAACACCATCGACAAGCTGGTGCAGGGCATCAGCTTCTCGCAGCCCGCCTGCCCCGAGCAGATGCTGCTCAACAGCCAGCTCCTGGGCACCCCCGGCTCCTCCCAGGTGTGCGGTGCGGGTTTTGCTGGGGGGGGCGTCGATAGCATTGAGGTGCAGCTTTGCAGTATTTGGGGTGCAGCTTTGCAGTGCAGATAATGTCGGGAGCAATTTTGCAACATTGGGGATGCAGCTTTGCAATATTGATCATCTCAGGGTGCAGCTTTGCATCCAATTTACAGAACTGGGGTCCAACTTTGCACTATTCATAATATTTGGGGTGCAGCTTCACATTCTGTGCCATTAAGCAGCAGCTTTGCAGTACTGGGCATGCAGCTTGGCACTGCTGATCATCCCAGGGTGCAACTTTGCAGTGTTTTTAGTGGCAGGACGCAAGGTTGCAATGTTTAGGGTGCAGCTTTGCAGGATTTCTAGCACCAGGCTGCAACTTTGCAATATTAGGGCTGTGGGTTTGCAATATTGATCATCTCAGGGGGTGCAGCTTTGCATCCAGTTTACAGAATTGAGGTCCAACTTTGCACTATTAATATTTGCACTATGTAATATTAATAATATTTGGGGTGCAACTTCACATCCTCTATATGCCATTAAGCAGCAGCTTTGCAGTACTGGGGATGCACCTTTGCAATATTGATCATCTCAAGGTGCAGCTTTGCAGTATTTGGGGTGCAGCTTTGCATCCAGTTTACAGAATTGGGGTCCAACTTTGCACTATTCATAATATTTGGGGTGCAGCTTCACATTCTGTGCCATTAAGCAGCAGCTTTGCAGTACTGGGGATGCAGCTTGGCACTGCTGATCATCCCAGAGCGAAAATTTGCTGTATTTGAGGTGCAACTTTGCAGTGTTTTTAGTGGCAGGACGCAAGGTTGCAATGTTTAGGGTGCAGCTTTGCAGGATTTCTAGCACCAGGCTGCAACCTTGCAATACTGGGGATGCAGCTTTGCAATATTGATCATCTCAGGGTGTGCCTTTGCAGTATTTGGGGTGCGATTTTGCAGTATTTGGGCTGTAAGTTGGTATAATTTACATCACAGGATGCAACTCTGCAGTGCCTGGGGTGTAGCTTTACAATATTTATAGTATTTGGGATGCAGCCCGGCAGCTGCAGCTCGCAGCGGTCTCCATCAGGGGGTGCAGCTTTGCAATGTTTATCCCGAGGCCGGGATTTTGCGGATCGGGAGCCGCAGCTTTTTGGGATTTGTGACTTTTCTCACCGGTTTTGGGGGCGCAGAGCCCGTGGCAGCGGCTGGGGGAGGGGGAGGAGCGCGTTTTTCCCAAAACTGGTTGGCTCCTACCGCGCCCTGCAGGAGCTCTGTGAGAAGATGGGGTACGGCTGGAAGAAGAGCTGCACCAACCAGGTAGAAATTGGGGTGCAAAATCGGGGGGTGGGATCATGCCCCATGCTGCTGCATCTGGAAATCACTTGGGGGACCACCCCGCACTGTGGTTTTGCAGGTCACCATCTCGACCACGGACAGGAGGAACAACAAGCTCATCTTCAAGGTGAACCTGGTGGAGATGGAGAGCAAGATTTTGGTGGATTTTCGCCTCTCCAAGGTGAGCAGGGGGATCAGGGTGGGCACGGGGTGATACAGGGTCTGACAAGGCGATGCACAGCGGGTGCCAGGCAGTGCAGGACCATGCAAAGTGGGTTCAGGGTGGTGCAAGATCATGAAAGGTGGGTGCAAGACAACACAAGGTGGGTGCAAGGCGGTGCAAGATCACGTAAGGTGATGCAAGAGCATGCGAGGTGGGTTCAGGTCCATGCAAGGTGAGTGCAGGACCACACAAGGTGAGTACAAGACCACGCAAGGTGGGTGCAGGACAATGCAAGCTGGGTGCAAGGTGATGCAGGACCACACATAGTGGGTGCAAGACCCCATCAGGTGGTGCAGGACCACGCAGGGTGGGTGCAAGATGACATAAGGTGGGTGCAAGGTGATGCAGGACCATGCAAGATGGGTGCAGGACCACGTAAGGTGATGCAGGACCATGCAGGGTTGGGTGCAAAGTGGGTGCAGGACCATGCAAGGTGCTACAACCCAACCCCTCTCCCCACGCAGGGCGACGGCCTGGAGTTCAAGAGGCATTTCCTGAAAATCAAGGGCAAGCTCAGCGACATCGTCAGCACCCAAAAGCTCTGGCTGCCGGGCACCTGAGCCCCCCGCACCCCACCTGGCCCTCTTCCTCTCCCCCTCCTCCTCCTCTTCCTCATCCTCCTGGCGGGGGTCCTGCACCCCCTGGACACTGTGAAGACAACCAACTGCATGCTTCAGGTTTTAAATGTTCAATAAAGCCCTGGGGTGCTCTGCAACCCAGCTGAATAAAAATGGTATTCAATAAAAAAATAGCAATTAGAGATCAATTCTGCGCCCTGCTCAGCTTATTTTCACCCAAAACCAGGCACCCAACAAGCACAAGGCTCTGTTCACTCTGAAACCTACTGATGGCGTCCACTGTTAACAGTGTCTGGGATCTCCATTGAGCCATGCAGTCCTAAACCAGCCCATTAACCCCCCCTGCCCATGTTTTGGGGGTTGACACCCTCCCCCCCAGCCCCATCACCCCCTTCTTGCCTTGTCTCAGGGCAGTGGCTGCCCTCATTTTCCAGCCTCTCTAATTGCTTTTCGGAAGGGCTAACGAAGCCAAGAGCTGCCAGGGGTTGTTAGCGCTGGAGCGAGAGAGGAGAGCCAGGGATTAACCCCTTCCCCCTCCCCAAAAAAGAGCATCCCCCCCAAAAAAACCCACCCCAGGGTGCAAACCCCGAGCCATCTCCATCGTTTCTCCCCCAAAACTTCATCAGCATTTAATTATTAGGGTGGGAAATGCACTTTTTACTCATTTCCTCCCCTTTTTTTGGTATTTTTAAGATCCCTTTCCCTGGTGGGAACCCCCCTTGGGCGAAGCAATTAGCGGCGATTTTTTAATTGCGTATTTAGATTGCAGCCGGGGAGCGAGACCCCGGCAGCGGGCGAGGGGGAAGCAGGAAGACGCCGCCTCCGACCTTGTTTGCTTTTCAGCCGGGATTAAGCAGTTTTAATTGTCCCGGAGATCACAGATTGCAGCCGGGGGGGATAATTAGGCTGAATACGGGGTTTTCTGGTTCACTCCCCCAGGAATTTATATTTCTAAGGGCAAAAAGAAAAACAAAAAAAGAAAAATAATCATATAAAAGCTTGAGGAATGCCTTGGGAATGAAGGGGTTTTGGGGGGGTGTGAGGTTGGACATAATTCATTGCATGAATGGGTCCCAGGCTGCAAGGGAAAGCCTCCCCATTAGGAACAAATCCTATTTTTACCTATTACCTGCCATAAATAAGTTATTTTGAGGGGGTCACAGGGCATATTTCACCCCGTCAGGATGCTCTGCTTTGGCCTCATGCATTAACCAGGCTCAATTATTATTTTCAACCCCAATTTTGGGTGGGTTTTTTTACCTCCGGGAGGGATTATTTTCCCCTTTGGGGGTTTGAGGGGGGCAATTTTAGGGGGATAAAAGATGGATTTTACAAATGAAGCCGGGTAAAACGGGGGCTGTGCGGAGCCAGGGCCCTGAAAGCGCCCATTGTGCGGCCGCGCTGGGGACAAGGGGCTCTCAGAGAGGCACCGGGGCGTGCAAAATGCCCAAAACCAACATTAGCGCCCGCGGGGGCGGCTTCTGCCCCCTCCATCATCACAAATTCATGGGGCTGCGGCCTGGGCACGGGTTTGGGGTGCGGGGATGGAGGATGCAGGATGCGGATGTGGGATGAAATTTAGGATTGAGTGAAGGATGCAGGATTTAGGATGCTGATATGAGATGAAATTTAGGACTGAGTGAAGGATGCAGGATTTAGGGTGCAGATATGGGATGAAATTTAAGATGCGGATGCAGGGTGCAGGATTTGAGATGCAGATATGGGATGAAATTTAGGGTTTAGTGCAGGATGCAGGATTTAGGATGCAGATATGGGGTGCAATTTAAGATGTAGATGCAGGGTGCAGGATTTGGGATGCAGACATGAGATGAAATGTAGGATTTAGGCAGGATGGAGGTTTTAGGACGCAGATATGGGAAAAACATAGGATTTAGGGAAGGATGGAGGTTTTAGGATACAGGTATGGGTCAAAATTTAGGATGTAGATGCAAGATTTAGGATGCAGATACAGGACAAAATTTAGGATTAAGTACAGGGTGGAGGATTTAGGATGCAGATATGGGACAAAATTTAGGATTTGGTGCAGGATGGAGGATTTAGGATGCAGTTATAAGACGTAGGAGCTAGGATGTAGGGGTGGGATGGAGGATATAGGGTGCAAACACAGGCTGCCAGATGCAGGACACAGCATTTGGGCTACAGAAGCAGGATTTAGGTTGCAGATGCATTTAGGATGCAGGATTCAGGATGCAGAGCCAGGATTTTGAAAAAAATACAGGGTTTAGGAAAAAATACAGGGTTTAGGATGCAGGTGCAGGTTTCCAGATACAGGACATAGGCAAGGGGCTGCAGAAGCAGGATTTGGGGTGTAAATACAAATGTGGGGTGCAGGACACGGCACGGGGATAAAAGAACAGATGCGGGATTTAGGATGCAGGTGCAGGACGTGGGATTTGGGATACAGATGCAGGATGTGGGATGCAGAAGCAGAATTTAGTGTGCAGATCCAGGATGGAGGTGCAGGATGAGGGATGGTCCAGCCCTGGAGCATCCCGGAGCAGGCCCAGCTGTGCACAGGGACCCTTGGAGCTGGGGAGTGCGTGCAACGAAGCGGGAAATGCAGATTTCCAAGGAAAAATTACAGCTTGTGAAGCCCGGGCAGGGATTTTGCCGCTCGTCCCCCATCTGGGAGGCAGAACCTGGCCGCGTGGCCACATCTGCCTGCCAGATGTGCCAGGGCAGCGAGGTGGGGTGGGGAACGCAGCCCCCCAGGGGTGGGGAAACCTCTGCGCTCATCCCTGCACGGGCCGTTTTTGGGAATGCTGCGCTCCCATATCACACCTGCTCCAGAGAAAGGCCTGGATGGGGCCAATCCGGCCTCATAATTATTTTAATTGCAATTAAGGTTTTGTCACGTGGCTGGGTGGGGGATGAGGCGCAGCTATAGAGGCATCTGTGGATGGAGGATGTGGGGTGCAGGATGCAGATGTGGGATGTAGGGTGCAGATGTGAGATGCAGGGTGCAGATGTGGGGTGTGGGATGCAGATGTGGGGTGCAGATGTGGGGTGCAGGGTGCAGATGTGGGGTGCGGGGTGCAGATGTGGGGGGCAGATGTGGGCTGTAGGATGCAGATGGGTGTAGGATACAGATGTGGGCTGTAGGATGCAGATGGGTGTGGGATGCAGATGTGGGGTGCAGGATGCAGCTCCAGGATGGCAATGCACCACTTTGGGCAGTGAAAAAAATGGCAGAAACGTTTCCCCATCTACTTTTTAGGGGCGAATTTGAATTTTTCTCTGCCTTTTGGGGATGTCAACTCAACAGCTTTGCCACTTGCTATTTTCTGAGCTGCCTCCATCAGCTCAGTGTTTCCAGCACAGCAAATATTAAAGGAAAAACCCTAAAGCAGGAGCAATTCCATCCAAAACTCCCAAATCCAGCTTTTCCCTTGCTAAATTGGTGTCTCCCCCCTTTCTCCTCAGCGTTTCCCACTGCGGAGGTGCCGGAGGGGCTGGATTTTGAGCTCGGGAGATGTTTTAGCTCTTGCAAAATCATCACAGCAGCAGCAGCCTCGGGAAGGCCGCCACATTAATAAAAGCAAAAATGCAGAGGAGTCTGGTAAGGAAACTCCTGCAAAAGAAAAAAACCCTTTGAGAAAACATGGCAAGCAACGGCAGCTTTATTTCTGCTCTTATTTCGGTGGGGATATGAATTTTGCAGGCAGTTGGGTGCCTGGAGGATGGTGCAAGTAGGCTTTTGGAGAAGGTTTGGTCCCTGCATCCTCCCGTCAGCGGCAGGGAGGGGTTTTGCAGGTGAAAACGTGGGATTTGCTGGTGAAAAGTTGGAATTTGTAGGTTAAAATGGAAATTTACAGGTTAAAATGGAAATTTGCAGGTTAAAACTTGGAATTTGCAGGTGAAAACTGGATTTTTCAGGTTAAAGCCTACAAATATCCCCCTCTCCCCAAAACCAGGGGCTCGGCACCGTGGATGCAGCCGGGCGGCGATGCCAAGGCCACGGGTGAGAGGCCCCATCGGTGCCTCTCGCTCTGCAGGCAGGAGAGGGAGAAAAATGCTTTAAAAAGGTAAAAAAAAAAAATAAAAAGAAGAAAAAAAGCTTCAAACCAGGCAGGCTGAGGTCATTTTTTTGGCGAGGAAGTCGGCTCCTTCGAAATGCCTCCGGGTCGGGTTTAATATCAGCAGAAACATTCTTGGGCAGGGTGGGGAGAAAGCGCTGCTCTCGCCAGCGAGAGTGGACCCCAAAAAACCCAAAACCTGAAAAAAAAACCCCAAACACCCTAAAAAACGCCAAAGCACCCCCCAAAAAAGAACCCTCTTCTGCTCTGCAAGCCCTCGGCATGGAGCAAAAGGGAGAAGAGATAAACCAGCCCATGAAGGGGAAAAAAATCCTCCCCCAGGAGTGGAGAACTGAACTTTTAAGGTGCTTTTGAGCATCGTTTGAGCCCTGTTGGGATTTTTGGGGATGGGAGAGGGGGAAAGCAGGAGGCTGGCAGGGAAAATGCAATTTATTTCTCACCGTTCTGCAGGGTTTTATCTCGCCGCTTTGTTCCCTCTGTGGTTTAGCATCATCTCACCAGGCTCAGCGCCCACCGACAGCTCTCCTTGGGCAAAGGGACTTGGATGCAAGGACCTGGATCAAAAACATATCCAAAAAACAGGGAAAAAAGATTAAATGTATTGCATTTGCCATGTTTTGTGTGGAGGACTGAGCAGCTTGGGGGCCGCTTGATGCCTCACCGCAAGGCCACGGTGAAGCCGTTTTGGCTTTTGCAGCCATTTAGCACATGAGGAGGGTTATGGTTTGGCCACATTTACTTTGCTAAACCTCATATTAGAGCTGTGAAGGTGGGGAGAGATGCGCTGGGAGGGTATTACAAGAAAAACAGGGCAAAAACCCAGCAGCTGAAGAGGGAAACTGAGGTTGGGGTGGCAGAGGAGCTGCGGGAAGGGGTGCTTGCAGGATGCAAGGATGTTTGCAGCACGCAGGGATATTTGCAGTG